TTATAACAGATTTACAATTGTAAGTCTAGAGCTACTAGCCTATGACATGAACACGTTAGATATTTGATTACTAATGTTATCATTTCTATTGTGTATGTAAGGTCGCTCAATAATGTGGCAAATCCTCTTACCAAAGGATTGCCAAGAGGCATGATCTATGAGACATCCTAAGGGAAGGGATTGAGACCTCTTGTGTAGTTAGAAGTAACGGGAACCCAACCTTTTCTTTAGGTATTCACTAATTAAAAAGGTTCAATGTGGTAATAACAAGTTACTCTAACAGAGGCACTAATTTATTGTACAAGTAAATTAGTCCAAAGAAGGATGAGTTATAGACTCTTGAGATGAGTTATAGAACTCTTAATGAATTCATTTGGAATGTCACCTATGTGAGCATTTAGAGTGGTGCCGCTCTAACAAAAGTAGAGGTCAACTTTTGTGTATGCTCATGAAACAGGATTAGCACATGGCCATAATAGTGCTACCCTAGTTGGTGGTTGTGGTTTAGAGAAGAGACAAGTACGTGTGTGGCATCTCCGGTTATAGCTTTGGATCGTGACTCCTAGGCTTAAGCCCATCACTGATTCGTTATCAACTTTGAGTTGCTTACACTAGGTAAAGGTTCAAATCGAAAAGATACCTTTATGTATGCGTTATTTGTTCGAGGCAGGTATTCTCAACTCTTGTTGACTAAGTGGGGGATTGTTAGAGTTAGTCAATAGAGTTGTAATACGACATTGATGGGAGAAGTAAAGTATAAAGATGGAGTCTTTTGGCAGTTTAATTAATTAATTAAACGTTTAAATTTTGTGAAAAGAAGTGTCTTTCCATAAAGGTAACTCCCTTTTTTCTGTGAAAGTATATGTCCTTCAATAAAGGTAACTACCTTTTCTATGAAGGGATGTGACTCTTCGGTAAAGTAACTTCCAAATTTCACAACTATAAACATGTGATTGCCATAACTCTTTTAATGATGAGAGATTACTTCTTCTTCCGTTTTCCTTCTCTATTTCACAAACACAGAAGTCTGCAAGATTGCTGCTTCCAGACTTAGAATTGAAGGGACTCCTGGGGGTGGTTTGCTCGAGCCTACCAGCAATTTGTAGTGTGGGCAAATAACACTCTAAGGAGAGTGATTAATCACACCTTCAATCCGATTCTTTCCTACCAGTTCCTGACAGTCTATCAGTACCATATATAATATCAAGGCTACATCTATGGTAATTTGGAGGCGGTGCTGTTCAATGGAGGGAGAGGGAGAGGGACAGTGAGGACGACTACTTCCGTTGCCTCTATTTTATAGTATAAATGTTAGGGGAAACGACAAGGGATTTCTATGAGGCGTTAGGTTGAGCCTGAACATGGGATTTATGACGACGAAAGTCGCCGGAACTACTTTGGAGAGTGTTGGAGACAGAGATCGAGGAGACGACGATACATTTTTTTAGATGACAGAGATCGCCGGAACTACTAACAAGCTGGAGGGAGATTCAAGCCAGTTTATTATTGTGGGGCAGGGCAAAGACCAAAGTCGATCCACTACTGAAAGGGGTGGATACCAAAACTCAACCTTGGTGTGGTGGCATTGTAAATCTAAGCAATAGGAAGGAACACATACTTTATTCTCGATCTTCTAACTAAGAGCCTGCAGTTGTTGCATAGTAACTTTTCTAAACTCATATGGTGCTTCCTCCTCAACTAATATATAGGCCATTTGATCTCTGGGTTTCTATTAGGATTGTTTTGTTTTTTTAAGGTTGTTTCTTACTTGTGTTTATGGAATATCCATGTTGTCATATATTTTCGTGGCCGATGACGGGCTGAACTTCTTATGTCATTGTGTGCTCTATATTTTTCAACATAAATGATGAAATTACCAAGATGACAGGTGCATTTTCAGTCATAGCCACTATATCGTCAAATTTTACTATGATTCTCCCATATAGTGAGGAAAATATTTCCTTAGTTGTTTGGTGGCTATGTATAATATTATGCCCAAAATCTGGTTAATTCAAGTTGTAAATAACAAACCTTGATAAAAGTAGGATAAAGTTAGTGTATGCATGAACCATATATTATATGTAGGGTAAATTTCAAGTTTGGTCACTGAAATTACTTAAAAAGTTCATATTTACCACTAAAGTTAATTTATTCCATCCATAGTCACTTAAATTAGTTCAACAGTTCAAGTTTTGTCATTCTCCGTTAGTACTGTTAACTTTATCTTACGTGACAATCAACTCTGAGAGTTGACCATTAAATAAGTGACTTTTAATTAAAAAAATAATAAGAATTTATAATTTAATTTTTTAAAATTTTCAACTCATTATCACAATAAATTAAAAAATAAATAATTACAATAATATTTCCAATAACAAAAAAATGCAACCTTTGTTGATCTTCCAATTCCAATTTTCTAGACCCCTCATCTTTCTCAATTCTCTCCTTCTCTTTCACTCTCATTTTTTTTTTTTTTTTTTTTTGATGAATTTCTCTTTCACTCTCAGTTGACTTGAGTGAGAATCGAGCTTCACTTTCTCCTTTTTTAACTCTTCCAATTGCTCAAACAGCCATTTCTCCTTCGCATCGAGATCGTCGGACCGTCGTTCGACTTTGAGCTGAAGCTCATTAGACTGTTGTTCTCTCCTCAATTCCCCTCTCTTGCTCCCAACCTCCTCGCATCTTCCTCAAACTCTGGGAATAAATTTTGTTTTCCAGAACTAAATTTTTTGTTATTGCAATTTTTATTACTATTTATTTCTTAATTTATTTTATTGTGATAATGAGGTGGAATTTTTGAAAGATTAAATTGTATTTACTTTTTTTTTTTAATTGCCATGTCACTTATTTAACGGTCAACTCTCAGAGTTGACTGTCACATCAATTAAAGTTAACGAAGACTAACGGAGAGTAACCAAATTTGAACTGTTCACGTATGCTAGAAGTTACAACTGATGTCTTTGTTGTCAAAAAAATACAACTGATGTCTTTGGTGCTCTGTTCTCTTATTTAATATTGGATGTCGATCTTTCTACTATCAAAGAAGATTATTCATCAAAGACAAAAGTTTTGTTTGATTTTCTTTGATTTGGAGTGGGCACTGGTAAAGTTAAGATAACATGGTACCTTATTGCTACATCAAAGAAGGAAGAAGGGCTTTGTCTTGAAAACCTTATCACACGTAATATAGCATGTGCGCCACGTTTGATCAGATTATTACTAATGCAATGAGATAGTTTTTGGGTCACCTAGATTGACAAATACCGACGGAAGGGATGGAGCATTTGGAAAATTAAAGAGGCTTTTTTTTCTTAGTTAGTTATAGAGGAAGCTTCGTAGATTAAGGCCTTGGTTTCAATTCAGAATTGATGTCAATGCATAGGAGCAGGTATCCTGCAACATTTTCAATTCAACAAGTTTGGAGAGTAAATATGCCAAAAAAAGTCAGTTGTAAAGTGGAGACAGGTGTTATAGGGTAAATTTTGCATAACTCGTGAAGGAGGAGGTGCTGCTATTTACATGTTCTAGTTTACCTGTTTCTAATATTTGTGACTCATTTGTATGTGGTCTAGCTTAATAGCCGCTAATTACAAACTGTTTCACAACTTCAATGGCATTGTTCATGGATGCGTTGATGGTGTTGTTGATGAGGGCCACAAGCTCTTCTCGTATGCCATCATGACCCAATCTCCAAGCTCGACAAACGAGCATTCATACCTTGAACATCGCTTTGGACTTGGGCAAAGTTAGCTCCCAAATCCTCGATGGTAGTGATATCTTCCGCCACCTTCACTTCCACTCGAGAGACACGCCTCTCTAGAGCCACCATAGGATCACGAGTGCTTGACTTGTCACCCTTTGGCTTGGGATTTTTCGTGTGATCCCTTCCACGTTGCTTCTCAGCCTCAGTAACGACGTTATCTGATCCCGACATTTTTGGTGAGGCTCTTCCTCTTCGTTTGGCTATAGCTTCTTCTTTGCTAGCACAAAGCCAAACCGGACTCTGATACCACTTGTCACGACCTTACTCTCGATCGTGCGGCCCTAGCTCTCAATTCCGTTAGAGCGCTAGGCAGCCTTTCTCTCAACTCACTTGCAAGCAAAGAAACAAGAACAAAGACAAAGGAATTGGGAGAACTCTCTAGTATGTATTACTCTAAAAAATGATGGAATGAGTTACAAGTGAGGGAGATGGCTCCTTATATAGGCCTCTCCTCATACAAGGCATCAATGCCCCTCATAATGGTCCCTCTACATCAATACACCCCATAAAGTCCCCCCATAATGCACTCTATAAATGTCACCATTATGTGACCCATAAGTGCACCATTAAGCTCTCATTTAGGTGGAGAATTCTAGGAGCATCTCTATGCTACTAGTCTTCCATACACGCCACATGTGCAGCCGCCATGTTGTCACCTTGTTCGCGCCATGTCATCTGCCACATGTGACAGTGGTCGCTGACTCGCTGTCGGCCTGTCGCTGAGGCGGGCGCTGGGTGGTCTGTCTCGCTGCCTGACGTTGAGTGTCTAAGAATGAGAAAGTGAAAGCCGAAAGGTAATAGGGTAAGGGCAAGGGCGAAATGGCCAGGCCAAGGCCCAATGCCACATTTCTGAATAACTGAATTAGTGAATTGGGCTGGGGTGTTGAGCTGTGGGCTATTTCTGTTTTGTAGTAAATGGGTATAACGGGTATCCACATTACCCAAATGGGTATTTGCGGGTAACCCGCGGGTACCCATATTAGGAATGTACAATCCCAAGTCCCATCCGTTTATAATATTACGGGTAATATGGGTACCCGTAACCCTTAAAAAACGGGACGGGTACGGGTATACCCAAATACCTGTTTCTCGTTGCCCACCCCTAGTCTTAATGTACTTAACTGATCAAAACCCAATCAACAAGATCGCAAATAACTAATTTGGCGCGTTGTACATTCTCTTAGTAAACCAATTAATTATTAGATCGAGAAAAACATAAGATTGAGAATAGGTCTATGGTGGACATTAATCATATTGTTACGAGATGCCATCCAACATCGACCTTCTTTTTCATCAAAAAAATAATAAATATAAAAATCGTCTGAACTCGAACACATCTTGGGTTTTCACATTTTCTAGAAGAGTTAGCAATTTGGCTACCTCAGATGGAAAGGGAGGCAAAATGAAACTATGGACAATTTCAAAATATAACAAATTTTTGTGAATCCTAAATAAAACAAAGAATTTATGGCACAAAGTCGAAAAAATGGAACCTCATTATTCGGCTTGGAACCACAGCCTATTGTTTTCTTGTCAAATTAAAAAGAAAAAGTTGCAGAGCGGTACTAAAGTAAACAACCATATCAATTTAGACCAAATTTAAAAATACATATTTTTTATTTGGATTGGTCAGGAGAAGATGTTGTCGTTGTTGTTCCGGCGATGGCTTCCTTAGCAGATTGGAGCGTGCCCGCAACAGAATCCGCGGCGGAGGCCAAAACGCCGCCACTCGTTTTGGATTTTGGCTGATGGGTCACCTCCACTTTCCTCTGCTCTTGTCCTTGTCCTTGCCCAGCCGACGACCGGTAATCCACCGTGCTCGTCTTTGTTTCCGCCTGCGTCTAAAATTCGTTACTATTTATCTATAACCAAACCAATAGTGTAAATCATATTCCATGATCTAAAGTAGCCTGATTTGTTCGTACCTTCATTGTGTTGGAACTCATGGTGATGAAATGGGTTGAATTTTTATTGATTGAGACTTCTTTGTCTTTCCTTTTCTTTTTTCACAATTATTTCTCTGTTTCTGAGGAGGGTTAGGAATAAGTTCGAGACTTAGAGACCACTCTTTGACCGGAAAACTTGGGCTGAAGATGAGGCGAGGGCGCTGCTTGTGGTTCTCCCCCCCCATCCTGCTGCTATCATGCAAACCAATCCACTTGTCACCACAACAAACATATCTTGGTCCACTCAATTTTTCTGGTTGATATAAGCATATCACTTCTGGTTGATCAAAAACCTACATTATGTAGCTGTTGTAGTCCTAGTAACAACCGAGATAGAAGAAGAAGAAGAAGAAGATCCTCTAAACCATAAAGACAAACACAGCCAAAAGGAAATGGAAAAGCCGAATCGCTACACCCTAGCTGCAGAGCGAATCACAGATTAGTAGGTCATAAGAGGTGACCCACTGCAATGGACATCGGTAGCATCTGGGAACCTTTGCCTAGGAGACAAGTTATTGATGCCAGCAGCCTCCACATCCAGGTTTCTAATGCTCTTCCTCTTCTGGGAATCTGGGTTCACCATCTTCTCCTCTGACGATAACACCTCTGGGATGGGACTCAAGGGCTCTGCTTCCTCATTCTCCTCCTGACAGTTCAAGGAGATCATAGCCCGAGCCTCTGCCACCGCGGACCCGTCGTTGTCTGCAGCATACAGTATCTGCTGAATTGCAGCAATAACCTGCATATGCAAGGTAGGCAGGCAGACATGGATTAGAAAATTGAAAATGGGTTCTGAAATACAATCATCACAGAGAGAGAGAGAGAGAGATTGGGGGGAAAAAATAGGTTTCTCTCTCACAGGAAGTCCTTCGAGACCAGGGCTCTGGCAGAAAAGCTCCACATCTCTCAACTTGGCGAAGTAGTAATCCCTTTCCTTCTCAAGGCTATCCACGGATAGCTTCAGCTCTGTGATCTGCTATCATTCAGTTAGTCCATGTCAGGACGAGAAATCTTACAATGCTATATAGTATTGGTGCTATAGGTTTTTGCCTTTATGGTACAAATTAAAATTGTACATTTACGTTATGGTACAACTTCAGATTGTACCTATTTTTTTTTTCACAAATTCTTTTATGGTACAACTTGAACTTGTACCATTATGTGATGGTACAACTTCAAGTTGTAAAGTTGTACAATAACATAATGATACAAATTGTTTTATGGTACAACCTAAACTTATACATTTAATGTTATGGTACAACTTTAAGTTGTACATTAAAGCACCAATACTATATAGCATAGTAGAAGTGCTCTGTCAGGACACATACATATAACGCTGAATTCAAAGCAAGAAGCAACTCCTATTTCTTCTTCTTTGTTATTACCTGTTCTTCATATGCTGGTGCAGGCGGTGGAGGTCTAGAAGCCTTGACGCTTAGGGTTGAAGAAGAGCTGGAGTTCACCGAAGAAGACAACTCATTCCTCCGAGCACCACCGTGGTGGGACTGTGGTCTGGGAGCAGCCGCAGCGCCGCCCTTAGCCGAAGTATGAGCCGGTGGACCTTTCTTCCCCGCTTCTTTCCCACCTTTGCTACCCTCTCTTCTCTCAATTGGGTTGTAACTGTGAGTAAAAAGCCAGCCAAACAAGAGTCGATTCACATTTCTTGTCAAAATTTACAGAATCGCTTCCCAAGCAGCATTCTCAATCCAAACCCACAGAGCCTCGAAAGCAGGGAATTGAATCAAAATTCAAAATCCTCTAAACCAGAAACCAACTAATATTTCATGCTTAGAGGAAACAAGAGTCGATTCAGATTTCGCATCTAAATTAACCGCACTGCTTCCCAAACAGAATTCTCAAGGCCAAATACACAGAGTCTCAAAAGCAGGGAATTGAATCAAAATCTTCTAAATCAGTAACCAGTTTTTAGTGCTTTGAGGAAAACGAAAGAAAGCAGGGAATAGCTGTTGCAGAAAGAGGAAACTCACCTGACAAGGCCTCCATTGACGGAATCGCAGTAGCGCTTGAGCCACTGCATGAACTCCAGATTATCCAGTGGCCTCCCTTTCACAAGCTTGCTTACTTCAATATGCTGTCAATCCAAGGAAGAAAATAACACCTCAAAAACCATGAAGAAAAAAGGAATCGATCAAGCGATTGATTCAAACAAAACGAGGAACTCGGTCGCCAATCCAGACCTTGGTGATTTTGAGTTTATTGAACACATCCTGGAGGACCTTGTAGTTCTGAATCATCTCATACTCGCTCTTGGCATCGAAATTGACCTTGTGCATCGGCACCATCCCTGGATGAACGGCGTCCAGTAGCTGACAGTGAACCGCTCCAGAGCACGCCTGGAGCCAAACAATACAGACAGATCTGTGCTTAGAGAAAATTTGCTTCGCAAAAAACAGGAGTTAGGGTTTCAGAGAAAAAGCCAAATGAAACAAAACCTCTTCGACTTTGGAGAGGTTGAGTTGGAGAGTGGAGTTGATCCAAGCGAGAATCTCCGATCTGCCGACGAAGTACGCCGCATCCATCATCCCAATCTTCGTCGCCATCTCAGACGCTCTTCGTTTTTTCTCCGATGGTTTGAGAAACAGTGGGAATCGTCTGCGATTTCGTTGAGAGGAATGAGATATGAAATCTTTCGTTTCTCCTCCGTCTCCACACAAGGCGCGTGGTTTTTCTGAATTTTGTTGGGAGAGAAATACCGGAAACAGAACAGAAAGGATTTTTGAAAAGTGAAGAGGAGAGAAGAGCGGGGCACTTTTTACAATTCAAAATCGGGGAGTTTGAACTTCGAACCTTGACATGACCGTTATAAACTCGGGTTGTGCGGGTAGGGTTTCGGGAAACCCGGGTTTGTTTGGGCTTCCATCTCACCAGCCCAGCTTCACAAATTGGGCCAGAAATTGTTACCCAGGTTTCCGTTTCTTTCTTCGGTCACCAGGTTGTCAAACCCGGTTTCTATCGTTTTGTGGGTTTGACAAGTGGAATGGTACAATCTGTTTGTGTCGGTTTAACAAAATATGTAAAAATGTAAAAAAATCGTTAACATTCAATGAATTTAACCATATTTAAAACATAGTTGACGACAATTTACTTACAATCCAACAAATAACATCAATTTTTGACTTTTAAATTCATGAAATAAATGATAAATCAATATTTTTTATTAATTAAATTCACCAAAATGATGTCATTTTGCTTAAAATTCATAAGTCGATCATTCTGATCATATCGTTGGTGTTCAAGCGACCAACATGCCACTATTATGACAACTATGGTCACCAGACAACTAGATCAGTCTCATCCCTCTCCAATGGAAGTTGTTACCATATGTATGATGTATCCTTTTCAGCTGATTATGTTGGGTCCTCCCACTGATCAGTTGTGTCTGCTACTATGTTTGAACTCCGCTCTTGGGTTTCTCTTATTATTTATTAGTGGGAATGTGGGATAATTATTGTTAGGGTTAGTAGTCTGTGGGTAGTATTAGGTTATTTGTCAGGGTTACCCCGGAACTTCATGGGACGATCAAAATGGGAGAAGTCAAGGATCCGGGTCCTACTATCAACTCCCCTTCCAAGATGAACAAGCATACCAAAGGGGGTATCAAGAAGCTTCCCCATATCAAGAAGATTTTCCTCAACAACCCGAGGAGAAATCCAAGTTGGAGTTGGTCATTGAGGCTTTCATGGGGCATTTGACATTTGACACCATGTGCCACTCCACAACCAGAGGCAAAGAGCGAATTAGAGCTCATGGTGGAGCGATTTTCCTAGCGCATCGATGAAGGGTGCTCTAGCATGGTCCTCCCAATTGCCGCCCCTTTCGACTCAACCTTTCTACGGGAATCGGAGGAGCTCCTTCGACACACGGAGAGGCTAAGAGGGCTTGTTGAGCAAGCATGTGCACAACTTGCTCACAATTGCCTCCTACCATTAGAAGGAAGAAAGGAAGATAGAGAGGCGAACCGTGAGAATTTTGGAAGTACAAGCTCCGACATGGATTTCCAACACCTCCCTCCTCCCGATTTGACACTAGAAGAGAAGGTGGCACGAGCTTGTGCGCGTCATCGCCTCTCACAATTGGAAGAAGAAGTGGAGGTTGAAAGGGGCAATCAATGACAATCGTATGGGGCAAGAGGAATTCACCTCGGAGAGCTCCCATGGTGAGGATGGCCAAGAAGGTTGCATTAACAACTCTCAACAATTTTCCCTTCCCGAGACCAACTTAGAAGACCAAGCCACGAGGGAATAAGAGCAAAAGAATGCATGTCATTTTGTGCTCCAAACCGTGCTTAAAGACATGGATGGGAAGGTGAGAGAAGAGGTTGTAGAAGAGGAAGTGAAAATTGAAGAAAGGGAAGATCTTGAGTGTTCCCAAGGGGAGGAAATTGAAGAAGAAGGTAGGAAGGTTGAGGAAGAAGTAGAAGGAGCAAGTGAGTTCCAAGATGAGGACGAGGTCATTGTGGATGAAGTATCCACAAGTTACAAGAGCTACTAAAGCTTTCCACCAGACCTCGATGCACTTTTGGAGAAGGACCCATTTGCGGCTCTTTGCCAAGCCAAAACCACTGGGTCTCTTGACGGATGCGATGGAAGTCAATCGATGATAGACTACATGGTGTGGGGTAAAGAGAAAGAAGAAAATAAGAAGAAGAGGTCTCGTGGGTGGAGCCTCAAAGCCGATCAAGTTCACGAGCCCTCAATCATGGATTCGTCCAATGCTCGTGGCTTGAGACTTCATCTCACCCACGAGAACCTCAACTTCAAGGAGGTTCTCGGATGGACCGAAGCTTAAGGAGCAAACATCTAGCTTATGACGTAAAATTACCGCTTGTTGGGAGGCAACCCAACGAAGGTTTGTGTTTGTTTTATGTTAAGTACTAATATTGTGTAATAACCTCGCCTTGCTCGAGTATGAGTGTGTTTGCTTTTGTCTTTGTCTCCTTGAAGCTCTCTCCTTTTCATCTCCGGTCCAATTCGATCCCGACTTTCATTCACCAAGCCATGTGGTAGCATCATTCTACCCCCTATGTTATGCCATTGAGGGCAATGTCGAGCTTAAGTGTGGGGGTAGTTTATTATTATGCTTGTGTGTGAGTGAATGCTTGGAGCCTTGATATATGCCCAAATTTGAAAATTTTGAGGGCTCCAATTAATGTATGATCAAAATGGTCGGTTGGTGGGTGAATCTCGTGCTTATTTGGCATCGATCTTGAATGGTTGCATGTAATCGAGTGCATCCTATTATGATGACAGAGAATGCATTAGGATTGTGCAAAAGCTTAGTTCTCAATTGTGCTTAAATGAATAGATGTCTTTACTTGGTTACTTCTTGATTACAATTGTCATGCATAGAAGTTTTTGAAATTGGAATAGACGATTGGGCAGCTAGGTAGCCATGTGAGTTCTGTGCCAATCGTCTTCTTCATGTGTGATAGATCCCTCTCGCCATGGTGTGTAACATTCACCGTTGTCACTAGTGAGTATGATGGAGGAACAGGATTAGTCCACGCCCAAAAGTTGATTGTCACGAAACATTTTATCCCCTAGTCAACCCCTTTGAGTCGTGTGACTTTGGGGTTCGTTCTATTGCTAGGAGCTTCCCGCTCGATGAGCTTAATGGTGATTGAAAGAACGACCCCCACCCATCCTTTCTTCATGTCAAAGCGTGAGTCATCCTTGTGTCTTGAAGTTCTCGCTTTTGAGCTACATTGAGGTTTTACATAGGTGATTTTCCACGATTGTTGCTAGAAACGAGAAGCTAGTGTTGAAGGGAAGTTCTTAAAAAGAGAGCATTGTTTGTTAAATGAAAGAAGTGACATGTATTTAGCTCTTTAGTACCCTCCCTCGAAAAAAAGAGAGAAAAAAAGAAAGACCAAAAATTAAAAAGAGGTAATAAAACGGGTAGATAAAAGTAGAGAGTGGCCACAAAAGTCTAAGTGTATGCTCTAGAAAGGGTTTCTCGGTACATTGAAACACCTAAATTGTTTGATGACCTCCTTCACTAATAGGTTTGAAATGTGAATAGCAAGATAGGCCAGAGAAGTGTGTTTGAATGTAGTTCGTGATTGGTAGTGATTTGGAAGAAGGGAAGTGGGGTTTTTGGCCAATGCTAGTGGCCTTTGTTTGTAAGAAAGGTTCTTAGTCGAGACCATAGAACTTTGGGGTTTTAGGTTGAAGATGTAGGATCTCATTCTATGTTTTCCACCACCCAAAAAGTATTCCCCATGTCCAAGACAATTGCAATCATTTGAACCCGTGTCTAAGACCTCCGGACAAGCTAGTGATGACAATCGTCTCGTGAACTCTAGCATTTAGAGATTGCCACCGTGGTGGAGAGACGATAGGGATGAGTGTGGATGATTGCACACATCTTTTGCACCAAAAAAAGCCTGACCCTACCGGTCGAGAGTGAGTGATTCATTTTTATTTTGCATGTTCATATCTTATCCCGGTGAGGACCTATGTAGCCCCGTTGTCTGTTCCTTGGACTTGAGTTTCTATGCATGGTTAGTTTTGGTTGGTGAGTAGTCCGGTCGAGACTTGCATTGATTTGTGAACAGGGTGAGAACTTTTCATTTGCCCATTCTTGATGAAATCGAATGTCGTTTGTGGTGGATGTCGGTATTATTTGAGGCGGTTATGTGTTGATGCCCAAATAGTCATTGAGATTCACCACTCTGTGCCTTTTGATTTGTCCCCAAGTTATCTCGTTAGGTTGAGATATCACCTAAGTTGAAAATGGTTTTCTTGGGGACAAGCAAACGTCTAAGTGTGGGGTTCGAGTTCATTTGTACACTTTTTTCCCCTCGGTTTGCTTAGTCGTTTGAAGCATTTTTACTCTGGAAGGTTTGGTTTTACGCCGAGTTTTGCCTTGTTTTGGTGTTTTCAGACTTTGGCAAGTGGAACCAACCCTGGAGTCGAAAGTTGGACGAAAATGCGAAAAATCAAGTCAAACGGTGGAAACAGCAGCAGATCACGGTCACTAAGACCGTGAACTGGATGCGTTACCTATGAACAGCCAATTTTCACTCGACACAAGTCAGTTCACGGTCGTAAGATCGTGAACTCAGGCCATTGCCCGTGAACTAGGATTAGTGATGCATCGCGTTTAGATTTTAGTTCGCGGTCTGGGCTTTCAGTTCACGACCGTGAACTGAGCCTGGTCTGGGTATATAAAGGAGGTTGAGCTGAAGGAAAAGGGGGAGAGACCTAGTGTAAGAAACTTTTTCTTCAAATTTCTAGAGTGAGAAAGTGACGAACAAAATAAGAGGAGAAGCTAGGGTTTCATCTTCAAGAAAGGAATTGGGAATTCCTCCCCCAAAGGAGGATCTCTTCAACATAAGGAGCAAGGCTAGCATCTCTTTGATGGTTTCCCTACTTCTCTCTTGTGTTTTCCCTTCTCCTAGCATGGAGTAGTCCCTTCTTTCACTTGGGTGTTTGTAAACCCTAGCTACAATTATGTGAATGCTTGTATGGATTGAATGATTTGTGTGTGGTTGTGTTTAATGTGAATGTGGAGGCATTATTCATGAATGATTGTGTTGTGTGAAGGCCTATCAATCTAATTGTCATTCTAACCTAGGTAGAGAGAAAACCCCCTTCCTTTCTTTGAAAGAGGCTTGAATGTTGCGTTTTCTTAGGCAATTCGTTGTCTCCTATCTAGGTTAATGCATGGCAAACCTCTTATTTGGTATTAGCACTTAGGGTTTGGTCGTCCGAACTCTGATTCGAGGGTGAAGTCTAACCAACCCTTAGTCAATAGGTCGAGAGAGTCACGTTGGTGGCTTGGATCAAATTCCCTTTCCTCGACCTAGAGACTAAGAGAGTGGTGCTTGGCTACTTGTTGCACTTCCCTACGGTTTACAACCACCTTACCATACATGACCATTCGATCCAACAAGTCATAATAGTTAGCTAGGGGAAGCAATACCCGGGTGGACTCTTCTCTCATTGGGAAAACCTCGATTTACTTTACTTGCTTGTTTTCATTTGTAGGTTTCTTAGTTTTAAACCCAAAAACGTTTGCTACCCAACAAACTAAGCGATTGAATAAGGGGTACATGGACCGGCCCGGGTTTGACAATTAAGTAATGGCGTGGCATTTAATCAACATCAACGTTTGCAAGTTACCACTAGCTTTCCTTTGAACTAGTTTGGATATAGCTTTTTTCCATAGGTATCCCGAAGGGAAATTGTTAGATACCAAATATACAAAACTTTCACAGGTCAAGTCTCAAAATTAAAGAAAAAAAGGTTAGCCGACTAATAAGTGATCCAACAATGAAATGACTTATTCTGTCACGATATGGAACAACCATATTACACTTGTGAGGTGTGAAAGAGAATGTAGTATGTTGAAGAGAAGTCGCCAACACTTATAACTCATGCAAGATAGCCCCATTATGTGCGACGAATCATTTGTGTTGATCATCCGAATGACCACTTATGCATCACTACAAATGATTAAAAGAGCAATGAGCCAAACACAAACGAAAAGTAGCCTAATCATCAAGAGGGTGAAGGTACATCGGCAATGAACCACGATCTGAATTATAGCGTGTAGTAGATCTGGAACATGAGTATATTCCTGATAACATATCTCGATTCCAATTTGTCAATCTATTCATTCTCATCTAATTGTTTGACTAGCTAGCTTAGTCAGAAGTTCAATTTGGCGTAGGATCCAAGTAGAGTTCCAAACAGATGAGCGTTACCTATATAGCAATCAAGTTGGACCATTGGTTTTCCCATCTCGACTCGTATTATATGTTTTGACTTGCATTGTCCCCTTTGACTATGTTTGATCATTGGTCATTTGGATTTATCTATTAGATGTTAAGTACCGTTTAAAATATCGATCTCATTTTAAATCATGATCTAAGTAGAATTAATTCAATAAGGTACCCAAAATATCACAGACTCCAGGAATGTAGTAGCTTGGCGAGTTGGCGTAAAAGTAATTTGGTGGATATTTCAAATCATCATTTTTTGTCAAAAGATATCATATATTGATAAAAAAAATAGACAGTTACATCCTGGAAACCAGCCAGGCCCTGAAATCAAAGAAGCGACTCATAGTCAGATACAAAGAGAGGGCTTTTCTAGCTACCGAATGAGCTTACCCTATTGTTCTCCCGACCTGCAAAACGCACACTAAAATCAGGCTGGGTGTGTAAATAATGACCTATCTCTTCCAGGACAGCACCCAACCGGTTATCTCTTGTGTCGGCTTGATTAATTTTGTCAATAATCACCTTCGCATCGCCCTCAAATCGGACCTCCGACAATCCACACTCCACGCACCAAATAATAGCCTCCCTAAGTACAAGCAACTCCACCACTGCGGAAATCTAGCAATTTGACAAAAAAAGTAATTTGGTGGATATTTTTTCCTAAGAAAATTTGTAGTGTCAAGTGTGCGTCTGGTTCTACATGCTCCCTTTGATTTGGGCCAGGACCTGGATTTGCAGGCTTTATGGTTCCAGGATTTATGGTTTTAGCATTTGGGTTGTTCATTGCGGCCCAACTGCCAATTTTGTTTTGGACATCAATTCTGCAACGTGTCTCAACTCAATGGTTCTTCACTAGCAGCATTGTGATGTGACAATTCAAATAAGGGTTCTGTTTCTTGTTCTTATTGGTCCACTGAAGCAAACTGTACAACTTCTGGATTGTTTGTTTTCCAAAATTGTTGCTTGCAGGCAATATCAAAGCCACCCAATCAAGTTGGAGGATGAATGGCAAAGGTATGCCACTTCCAATTGAATAATAACCAATGCCATGAATTTTTCTTTATTCTTTGTGTCATAGTGTGTTGCCTGTTATCTGTTATCCTCAGTAGGAATTAGTTTGAAGTAAGAAGTGGATAAAGCCTCTTTCAAATTTGTAAAATAGGTAAAATTACATGAAAATTTGTAACAAATTTAGTAAATAGAATAGTTCATAAAAACTTAGCCCGTTTCTCAATTATCAAAGTTCAAATCAGCCACATTCAGATTCATGAATTTGGCACCAATTATCCTATCTAGCGGACAAACCTTTCACTTATCTATTATCTAACTTAGCACCAAGCTGAGAAATGCCAATAATTGGGATCATAATTAACAAGATGCTATAATAAGATTAGTGTGCAACTTAAAGATCTACCAACCCAGTTAGACAATTACAACTCTCTGCAATAAGAACAAGGGGAAAAAAGATTACAACGAAAAGAGGCCACTCTTTTTCTGCGACAAAAACAGGTCAATATTGCTACATAACATACATACTCTCTACAAATCAAATTCATGATCCTTTTTTCCATCACTGACCATAAAGAAACATTGAAGAAGCAGAAGGCGGGGTAGGGATTTTCTCAAGAACCTGCAAAGCTTCTTTCATGGCTGGCCTTTTGTGTGGAAGTGGAGATGCACAACTATAACCTAACTTGAAGCACGCCAGCAAGGCCTCTTCTTTGCCCTCCACGTCACCTCGGATCGCCACGTCAGCCATCCGCAACGCCCTGGTCTGGTCCTCAACCGCAAGCCCATTACTCCCTTGCCCCGTCTCGTCCACCGTTATGACCTTCCCCGTCAACAGCTCGAGCAATATGACCCCGAACGCATACACATCCCACTTCGGGTTGGGCTTCAGGCTTCGAAGCGATTCGGGTGCATGGTACGGCGAAAGCCCTCCGATCGAGCTCGGGCTAGGGCTCGGGCTGGGCCCGGTCGACGCGAAGTCCATGAAGCTCTCCCGCGACGCCGTGGACCTCTTGCTCCCGAAGTTCCGAGCCGATCCGCTGCCCTTGTAGCTCGTGTCGCCGATGATGAGCTTCTCCAGCCCGAAGTCTCCAACTTTGGGCTCCATGTCCGAGCCCAGGAGGATGTTCTTGGGCTTCAAGTTTCCGTGGACGTGTTTCTTCTCGTGCAGGAAGGAAAGCCCACGGGCCACTCCACGGGCGATTTTGAGCCGGGCCTCCCACGGCAAATGACACGGCGACGATCCCCCGGCTTTCCCTGCCAAACAGAAGAAAACAAACCCAAAAGACACCCGCGCACGTTAGATTGTTGGACAAGTACCACATCATCTAGCTGAAAGAAACGGGTAAATGGGAGGAAGGCCTGTCTCCATCGGACGCCGTGGGGCGTACGATAAGGATAGGCGGGCGCCATTACCATGACCATGTGTACACATGAGCGATGACTGACTAAAAAAGGGGTTGACTACCGATGACGGATTATTTGCAATAAAAACAAAGCGGTTGGGTTCCAACCACTCCACCGCCAAATCCAATGCAATTTTCCCTCCAGTGCACGTTAGCTAACGGAAAAATAAACGGAGAGGGAGGAAGCTTACGGTAACGGGCGTTGGCGAGGCTGCCGTTGGGGACGAAATCATAGATGATGAGCTTCTCGTCGGGTCCCCAATAGAACCCGCGGATCCGGACCAGGTTCGGGTGGATCAATTTGGATATGACCCGAACCTGGTTCTCGAAATCCCTAAACCGGTCGACCTGGCTTTCCCCGATTCGTCGGACGGCGAGGGAAGTTCCGTCCTCAAGCACCGCCTTGTACACGATGCTCGACCCGGTGGCGCCGAGGATGTAGGCGGAGGCTCGGAGGAGGGTTTCGAGCTCGAGATCTTTCTCGCCGCCGTCGACGGTCACCAGCGTCCCTCCTTTACCGGCGTTGCTGTTGCTGCTGCTCTGATCGGGATGGACCTCGGCGCCGCCGCCCGCGGCGGATTTGGATTCTAGCTCGTCGTTATCGGATGTCGACGTGTCGGAGTCGTCGTCGTCGTTTTCGCTCTTCTTGCGGAGGCAGGACCACGTGGCGAAGCCTCTGGATTCGGAAGAGGAAGACGACGAGGTGGAGTCGTCCTTGGCGAATCCGGCGTCGTTTGGGTTACCAGTTCCGAGGGCTTCCTTCTTCTTTCTTCTCTTGATGAAGTAATAGACGTAGAAGAACACCACGAACAGAATCACGACCCCGGCGACGTCGCCGAGCACGATTCCGATGATCGTCCCTGTTTTTAGCCTGCTGCTCTGTTCTTGCCGGCGAGATTTGTCTTTCCCCGGCGCGGAGTCGGCGGGGCTGGAGGCGATTGTCCTGGGAAGCACGGCGATTGCAGGAGGGGAAGTCGTCGGGGCAGAGGAATTGACACGAGAAGAAGGAATGGGGCAGGGCTTCGTGGTCGGGCCGCCGCAGAGATCAGTGTTCCCGGCGAAGAAGTCGGATTTCTGGTTGAGAAACCCACTTGAGTAGGGCACCTCTCCGGTCAAATTGTTGAAAGAGAGGTCGACGGTGGCGTTACCCTGGATTTTCGCCGCGAATTCGGCCGGGATCTTCCCCGAAAGCCGGTTGTAAGAGACGTTCAAGTAACGGAGGCTGTTTCCCCCAAAATCAGGAGGCAGAGATCCATTGACGAGATTGGAAGACAGTTCCAACACTTCGACCCGATTAAACCCACCCGGAAGCTCGCCGGAGAAGTAATTGTTCCTGAGAGACAGCTCCGTCAGATTCTGCAGCGTAGCAAGACCAACCGGCAAACCCCCTGTCATGGCATTGTCAGACAAATTAAGCATCACGAGGCTCTGCAACTGGCCGACGCTTTCCGGGATTCGACCCGCAAGCAAGTTGTTCGACAGATCGAGAATCCGGAGATGGGTAGCGTTGAAGATGGAGATGGGGAGCGACCCATTGAGCGAATTGTTGGAAAGGTCCAGACTTTGGAGGTGCTGAATGGCGCCGAGGTCGGCAGGGATTGAGCCGAGGAGCTGCGAGTTGGGAAGCGACAGAGCTACGACTCGAGCTAAAGAGCCGTCGATCCCCGCAGGAGAGGAGCAAAGGACGCCCTTCCAGTAGCAAGGAGTTGGGTCGTCGTAGTTCCAGCCCTGGAGCACATTGAGTGGATCGCTGAGGATCGAGAACTTGAAGGACATCAGAAGGATTCCATCGGTGTTAATGGCGGAAGAGAAGCGAACCAAAAGGAGCAGAAGGAATTGAAGGGGAAGAAGTGTTTGTTGGGAGGAGGAGGTCATGATGATTTCTCAAGCTGATGATCCAACATCTCTAGACAGAGGGAAACAGAGAGGAAAGGGAGGGGAGAGAGATGGTAATGGAAGTGAGATTTATTATGGAGCCATGTGAGAAAGGGGAAGGAAGTGGTTAAGCCATGGGAATTGTAGCAGTGGACACACACAGACACAGCTCACCAACACCAAAAACCCACAAGGATGGATTATCGACTTAATTAATTACAACCAAACAAAACAAAAACTTTAAACCCCAATTGAATTCTCATTTGTTTATTTTCCTTCTCCCTCTCTCTCATTCTTAGAGCTAAAAAATGGGGGAAAAGAGGGGTTTGAATGAGGAGCGCAGGTGGGCATGGAACTTACTAAACTATGAAAAAATCGCATTTGTGGGAAAAAACTGAATCATGGCTCTCTCTCTTACGCACAGAGAGTGAGAGAGAGTAAGGTTGGTCTGACTCTGTCACTGCGCCACTGTAGCCAGTACTCACAGTTAAGATGAAGAAGGTAAGCTAGAAAGCCCTAAAAAAATATTACAAAGAATCAAAAAGCTGACAGGAAAACATTATTATGAGGTGGAACAAATTACACATATTAATGTTGTTGGACAAGAATAGCATCTTTGCTCATTAAGTAAGACATTCAGCAGGAACAAAAATTTACCTACTATCCTTTGTTTTCTGTTACATTTGACTTTCACAACTCCCATCCTCCTCTTAATTTTTTTTTATTATATCTTTGTTTTAATGATCATTATATCCCAACCAACAGCAATTTCCTGCATTTGTGTTGGTGGTTAACACATCAACACTTTTGGATTGGATCTACTCATAATCTCAGTCGTTCGTCTACGAATTTTGAGATGACACGAATGTGATTCAACCACTATAGTCGAAAATATAGATTGTTGTCACTCCCTTTCAGCGATTGGAAGTTCCCTATTTACAAGTGGAAAACAGCCTCATAGTATGTATCATCATGTTGTGCTGCTTAGGGGTAAACAAATACACCCGCAAACCGACTCACCCGTCCAACCCAACCCAACCCACTCGTATTTATTGCTAAAACGAAGGTTTTGAGTTGGATTAGGGTTTTCTTTTGTACAACCCGCCTCTTTTGGGTTGGGTTTGGATTTTGGATTACACATCCCGTAAAATCCGACCCAACCCGTGTTCCAATAATTTGTATGAGTTCGTATCCAAAATAGATTTATGTCGTATACAGCCATACTTATGAGAAAATTAAGATATTTCGCCATGTTTTTCTCTCATGGTCTTCCTGCATTCTTCGGCTTAAAGTTTAGACACAAATTTAATATAGCTATGATTCATGGAATCATTTTTCTTGTATACAATTTTAATACAATAACATATTATGGATGCGTTCGTTCATAACCTTTTTAACCTATTTCAACAAATATCGTTAAAAAACTAGACATATGTTGAAGTAAATCACATTTTATTAAAATTCAAACAACAATTGTGAATTTTTATGTTTTCACCTTGGTTTGTTCGTTTGAAATTTTAATTAGTTATAAAATATTTTTATGGTGTAGAATAATTACATATTTTGTGTTGGGTTGGGTTTTTACTTAAAATATCGCCAATCCGACCCAACCAAATTAGAAACAAACCGCAGGGTTTAAACTTTTTTGGGTGGGTTTAGGTTTAATGTTTCCCAAACCGTAGTGCATGGATCGGGTGATTAAAATGGCTAAACCCGGACCACCCGACCCATACCCTAGTCCCTAGGCTGCTGCTTTCGATGCTTGGAATGCAACCCCTCTCCTAATTGGTTGAAAGAGTGCTTCCCATATTTCAGGAAAAAATCCAAAACTACCACTGTTTTAAAAAAAATTTACAAAAATACCACTCACTCCAAAGAATTTCCAAAAATACCACCCTTTATTTAAAACCGCGCCTCTAAGGAGCGGTTTTCAATGAAACCGCGCCTCTAGGCGGCGTTTTCCTATCTAACCGCTCCTTGGAGGCGCGTTTTTATTTTCCGGAGTAAACCGCTTCTGGGACGCGCGGTTATAGGTTAAACAGTACCACAAAACGCTGGTAGAGGGAGCGTTTAATTGTCGGCATTACAAACCGCCTGGGAAAGGGGCGGTTTACAATGTCAGGACACAAACCGCTCCCTTGAGGCGCGGTTTGTGCCTGGTCACCCGACACCCGACATGTCGGACATGTCGGCATGCAGGGGTAGGGCTGCATGGCAGATATAAACCGCTCCCTTGAGGCGCGGTTTGTGCCTAAAACCGCTCCCCCCCCCCCCCCCCCCCAAGCGGTTTTGGTGCAAAATTTGCCTATAAAAGGCTATTTCGGAGAACACAATTCTTCACACTTCCTTCCTCAATTCACACTTCCTTCCTCAAATTTAAGCTTTGCACCTTTAAATTATTTAGTTTTTGCGATTAACATTAATTCGTAAGTTTGTTTCGTAATTACTTTTCATTGTCTTTGTGATTTTATGTTAGTAACTTAATTACTTTTGATTGTCCTTTGTGATGTTATGTTAGTAACTTAATTACTTTTCATTGTCATTTGTGATTTTATGTTAGTAATTTGAATTACTTTTCATTGTCCTTTGTGATGTTATGTTAGTAACTTGTGTTACTTTTCATTGTCATTTGTGATTTTATGTTAGTAATTTGAATTACTTTTCATTTTTCTTTGTGTTGTTATGTTAGTAACTTGTGTTACTTTTCATTGCAGATGGCATTCCAAATGTTCACGCTTGGGTTGCGGTGGAATGGTTACACGGAAGAGACCGAAAAGGGTGTAAGTTACGTCGGTGGCAATTTTCATAAAATGAAGGTCCGTACGAGACCGATGCTTGAAGAGCTCCACCGAATGTGCACTCAGATTACCTGCATGGATGGCAGTAGAAGAGTTGATCGAATGGTGTATCGATATCCAAACAGACATGACGGGTCGCTGTGGCATGAGGAATTCCTCCTTACCACTCAGGAGGACGTTGATGCCATGGTCCAATTTTTGACCACCAATACAATTAAGCAAGCGGAGATGTTCGTTTACACCGAGGCCGTCGAAGGTAGTGTAGGTCATTCTGGAGATGGCCAAACATCTGGTATCCACGGTGGGAGTGTATTATACGAAGATACTCCCCACCAGGATTTCCAAGCCTCGAGTTGGAGTCAGGAGTATCATCATGGAACTGGAGGAAGTCATCAATCCTTCCATTCATATGAAGAAGAAGCTCAACAGGCGGATTACAACCAACAAGCAGGCTACCAGTACCCACCCGAGTACAACTTCTATCAAAGCGGTGTTAGTTACCACAACTACCATTACGGAGCTAGTGGAGGTCAAGGTGCCTTTCATGCTGATAATCAGATGGAAGAAGAGGTCAATCCAAGTCCAGTTAGTGACCATGAGGTTGAAGAAGAGGAAGGCGAAGTTAGTGCAGACAGCTCCGATCCGCTGGAAGGTGCTGATGATTCCGGTCCAGATTCAGACGCAGATGGTGATGAGGTACCTTACGACCGTGTACCTATTCCATACTACAATCACATTCAAAGTGAAGATTGGTATGTTGATGCCGACATGGACCCGCCAGATGTGCCATTATGGGGTCCACTAACTGGCTTTACGAAGGGCCAACAATTTGCAACGAAGAATGAGGTTCGACACGCTATTTCCACTGAAGCAATGACTCGGAGTTTTGAATGGCAGACAACCCATTCCGACACAAAGAGGCTGATGGTTCGATGCAGAAACCACAATGAGGGATGCACAGCTAGGGTCCGGGCCATCAAGAGCAAGAGAGTCGGTCATTGGGTCATATCCCGTGCGGTGAACACACACACATGTGTGTCATCAATAACATCCCAAGGCCATCGACAGTTGAAATCAAGGGTGGTTGCCGCGCGCTATCAAACATCTAATTGAGGAGCAGCCCGACCTGAAGGTGAAAACCATCATCGCCCACATTTCTAGTCGTTATGGTTATATCATTAACTACAAGAAAGTGTGGCATGGGAAACAGAAAGCAATGGCTGCCGTGTTTGGTGACTGGGAAGAATCATATGCATTCCTTCCCAAACTGATTTTGGCGTTGGAGGTGTCTAACCCTGGAACCATTTTCTCGCCTCGCTACCAAGATGAAGAAATTCAATCGCCGGTGGCTGGTAACAATCGCCAATTCAAGCGTCTTTTCTGGGCCTTCAAGCCATGTATTGATGGTTTTCCATACTGTGTTCCTGTGATTCAAGTTGATGGCACATTCCTTACCGGCAAGTACAAGGGTACTCTACTGATTGCCAGCGGAGCAGATGCAAATAGATTAGTATATCCATTAGCCTTTGCCATTGTGGAGGGAGAGAATACCGATAGCTATGGATGGTTCTTCAGACAAATTCAGCTCCATGTCACCAGACGGACAAACTTGACTATCATCTCAGATCGCCACGCCGGTATACGGGCTGCTATTTTAGGCTTGGATCCAGCCTGGAACTGGTCACAGAGATGGTGCATCCGGCATTTCAAGAGCAACTGGAACCATCATTTCAAGCGAAGGAAGCTTGCTGACAGTCTATGGTGGATTGGTAAGCGTTCTAATTAATTGTCTATCTGTAAACTTTTAAAACTGTATACAAGTATTGAGTGTATGGTTACAATACAACACTTATTTAGACTCTTTATAAAGAAATGCATGTCTAAGGAAATGGGGACTTAAGCGATCATCATGATCCCCCCATGACCTGGGAAAATCGGGTTCTAAGCGATCCTCGGATCCCCCCTTTTTCTGTCAAAAAGACTGTGTTTCTAAGGAGATGTATCCTCCGATCATGCCGAGGATGTAGATACGTGCATAAATTTCTTTATCGCGCTCCGAACTTTCCTCCGTGAGGGGAATGCCTCCGAACTCAGGGTTGTGCTTACGCCTGATCTCCGCCGTCAACCACGTGATGGATACTTGGCCCTTGGACAATGGTGGATGACCATCCGCATCGTGATCTCCCTTTTCTGGCGGACACAACCCGGTGACCGTCCATATAAAATGTTGTCAACCACTCATATTGGCAACAACTTTAGGTGGTGGCGTAGAGTCCACACAAACAACATCACCATCGATGGGGAGATCGGTTAGGATGGCGATGTCCTTAAGTGTGATGATGCACTCGCCTTCACGAAAATTGAAGCAGTGTGTCTCCTTTCGCCATCTCTCTACCATCGCCGTGATGAGTTGGCGGTCGATCTTAATGCCGTTGAAATGCCTAATTGAATCCAATCTTGCCCTTTTTAGAAAGGGCAAGATGACGTCGTTCCATTCAAGC